AAGGCTTTGCAGATTTGCATCTCCAAATAGCTTTTTTCCATTTCTAGGAGCAAGCAGCAGAACAGCTGAGTGCTACAGGAACAGCTGGCCTTCAGTGATAAGGGCGAGCTGTCACTTCGTGGTGAAGTTTGAAAAACTGTATATATTTAGAAGCAGAAGGAAGGGCCATCAGCAGCCGCACCCCAAAACCTGACCTGTTTGCGGGTTCTTCACTGCCTGCACTTGGTGATTGGAATGGCAGTATTTACATTTTCAAGTGTTACGATGCCTTTCTGCTCCAAAATCCATCTTGTGGTGTGACTTAGCATGTGAGATCAGTGACATCAGTACTGCTGACTGCCATGAGCTGTGGTGAGGGCGGAGCTCTCAAGTTGGGGATCCATAATTCAAGCAACTTTATTCGCTATTCCCCATGTATGGCATTCAGTTTAGAAATAATGAGGCCTTCCATGCTTTTCAGTTTAGGCTCGTTGCAGCCACTGCATGTTTCTATCTTCCATCTTTTAAAATACCTTACTGTGCGCTACCCCTATGTCCTTCACTGTGCCTTGGAGTCCACCCGCTGTTTCCTTGGGTGTTGCAAGGCTTAGATAATTAGCAGAGTTAGTCGTCTTCCTGCACAGGAGGGGCTCTGCACACAGCTGGCACTGATGAGTTTCAGCTCCCTGTCTCAGCGTCTTAAATCCCATTTAATTTCTTATCTCGCCTGGGATCCAGATCATTAACTCTTGTTTCCAAGACACAGAAAACAGAGCACCTGAAAGTTGAACAGAAAGAAGTTTCAGAAGTAAGTTTTGTCAGTGCCCAAGCCCAGTTTGAGACACTGACTGTGTCTACTCTTGTCAAATAAAGCAGGGCCAAAGACCATTCTCCATCCCTGATCTCAAATGGCAGATGTCACTGCAGCCACTTGGCCCTGTGTCTCTGGGCTGCTGCTGGCGCTCATGTGGCTTTTATTCATCTCTTCATGTTTTGTGTGGTTTGCTTTTAGTTTTGGGTGGATTTTTAAGCTCAAAGTGCCTGAAGATGTGTGGCAGCCTGTCAGAGAGCTGCTTTCAGAGCTTAAAGCTGAGGCAATGTGACATGAAGGTATGTGGAGTATTAGGATCAATGAGTTGCTACTACAGTGTTGAGGGACTGTGTATTGCAGAGGAGTCACGTCTGTGCAGTCTCACCCAAAATGCCTTCTGGATTGGTCATTGACCTGTCATACCCCTAGAACTGTACCCAGTTGTAGGCTTGGAGAGAAGCTTGGTCCAAGGGTCATGACAATGGTGTAGATACTACAGCATCCTGTGGACTTGGATGACTCCCCTGCACTTGGGTTGGTGAGCTCTCTACATGATCCTTGCTAGCCCAGCTTGCTGCCTGCTCTTCACCAGTTGCTTGCTGCACTGTTTGAATCAGTGGCTTTCCCAAACCAATTGTGTTTCTCCTGGTTTTGTTTGGGATTTAGTGAGGGTTTATAAAATGCTATGGAACAGAGCTGCTTGAAGTCAAATCTGAAAAAAAAAAAATAGTGCTTCAAACTGAATGCCAGTCCCTTGTAACATTCATTTCTTGTTAATGGCTGTATTATAAAAGACAACATTTGTGTCTTAGTGTCCTTGAGAGTTTGGCTGCAAGGACCTCGAAAGCCTGTCTTCGCCAGCACTCCCCAACCAGCGAGACATGCAGTACCCTGCCGCCAGGCCCTGCAGCCATTTCTGTGATCAGGCATGAAATTATTCTTAACTGATTGAAGCGAGGCGTACATTGAAAAGCTTGGGAGACACTGATTTGCTCCATCATCCTGCTCCGCCTCAACTCTGTTTCACCTAAACCATGCCTGGCAGTTTTGAATAGCATCGTCCTACAAATCTCTCATGCTCAGAGCATGTTTCAGAAAGCAATAGTATCACTGCTGTCATTTTAAAAGACAAAAAAGAAACAAGACAAAGGCGAAACAACTGGCCAGTGTCACTCAGCAAAGACAGGGCAAGAGCTGGGAGGATGCCTGGGTGTCCCAGTCCCCAGTCCGGCGTGTTCGGCATTATGATACATGGCAGAGGAAGGATTTGTTATATGATTTCAGATCTGAGTCTCAGACATGTCATGGTCTTACTATGTTCCTTTGGCACAGGAAAGGGGCTTGTGTACATTTGTATTACATTAAGCTTCCAAAAAATACATAGACCAGTGCAGTGCAAAGAGGCTTTGAAGAAACCATGGGTCAGACCCACTTTGTGTTAAAGTGCTGGGGGGGGGGGGGGGGGGGGGGGGGAGAAGGTGCAGGCATGGGTATCTGCCTGAGGTCACTGTTTGAACAAGCTGATAAATGAAACATTTCTCCTTTATCCAATAAAATTTGCAGTCGGGCATTCTTGTTAGGTGGCTTTGATATAAGCATATCATATACCAGTGAAAGAATATTCTGTCGCGCTGAATGTGTATCACCACTGTTGCAGTCTAGGACAGAGAGAAACAGAGCAGGGTTGTGCATACATGCTAGCAAATGGAGCCGAAACCAGTCTGCTCCTGGCAAACAGAATGTCCGCCTTAAGAAGACAGGGAGGCAGCTCTGGACTGTGAATGAAACAGTCAGTGGTGACATAGTCTCAATGGCATCTGTCTTCTCAATATAAAAAACCCCCAACATTTTCTTACCCAAGGTAGCTGCTTCTCTGAATCTGTGAATCATGTCTGCTGAGTTTATAGGAAGAAGCTCCAACAAATTTGTGTTGCTCTCTGGTCTGAAAATCCATATAGATGTGGAAGAATGAGTTCATGTGTCCTATAGCGACCAACAAAGTAGTTAGCAGCCATTAGTTTGTAGAACATTTATTACAGATGAAGAGGCAAGAAAGAAAATGTTCTCACCTGTGTGCTTGGACGTCCAGAGTCAACTGAGACATGAGCTGGGTAAATCACATTTTGAGATGTGAAGGAAATCAGAATTTCCTTCTAATTTCTAGAAGGAAATTAGACCTTAGACATCTAAAGAAATTAGATGTCTTTTCATACAGCCATTCTGCAGGAGTCAAGCTATGTGTATATGTATGTGGGAGAACAGATATTTGTTTATCAAAGAACGAGTATCTGTAACGTATTTATAGGTCTGCAGTAAGTATGTAAGCAAATTGCTGAGTTCTGTTCCCAGTATGGAAAAATTAATGTGGCTGATGCAAATCTACTACCAGCCATAAGATTCTGTCACTTACTTGTTTTAGCCAAGATGGATCCAAGTGAATCTGTGATGGTAAGATTATAGGTGCATCCCATATGTAACAATACCACTCCATTTCCATAGCATGTCCTACTTACGTATTTTAGACTATTTAGTCAAGATTTGTCAGTTCAGGCCATTAATAGATAGTAGGCAAATAAAATGCTGTTCAGCTGAATGAGGGAGGAACCAGTATTGATCCTGAACCTCATACTGCTAAGATAGTTGGGCTGGTATTGTCATGGTAGAGATAAGAGAGCTTTATACATCAATACACACGTTCAAGAGAAGATCAAAGCAGCCCAGGTGGTAAATAACCTGGACAATTGCCTGTAAGACCTAAAATTAGAGATCAGCGCAAAGACTTGGCAGGTGAATAGTCAGCAGATGCTGTCTTATCTCTCTATTTGCTTTGGAAGATTGGGTCTGACCCAAAACATGTTGAAATCAATTTGTATCTTCTCCTTTATTTCGGTAGGCTATGCACCAGACTCTAATCTGTTGTGGGCCTAATTAAAAGATTTTCCTCATTGCAAGCTAATTACTCCTATGGAGAAATGAAACTGAATGTTAAATGAGCACTTGATAGGAGCTGTATTTATAACGTATGGTTTAGAATAAAAAATCATGGGCTTGATTTCACACTGTCTTCTATAGTTTCTTATTCCACATAAAGCAAGTACAATTTCCCACTCTATTTTATTGGTACAAGTGTGAAGAGTTGGGCAGAATGGCTGTAACAAGAGCCCTTCCTTATGTAAAGTAAAAGCTAGTGCAAGCAGGAAACCATCAGCTTTCAGCATCCTAGAGAGGAAGAAGCAATGCATCTAAATGGCAGCAAGGAGGTGGGATATCAGCAAAATGTTCTGACAGTGAGGACAGTGAGGCACTGGGCTGGGTTACTTGGGGAGCCTTTGGCATCTCCAGCATGAAAAGCCTGTGAGAGGTTTGGCTCCAGCCTCAGGCAGGGGATGAACACCCAGAGACAAATACAAGGTACAGGACAAAGATGAATTCAGTGCCGTCACCTTGTGGTGACAGGCCATTTGCTGTTCTTGAACAAATGGCAAAGCAAGTAACATGAAAATGTGAAATCTGCAGTAAATAATTAGATAATGGGAAATCAATCATACTAATGAGTATATAGGTGTTGGCAGACTCTTAACTATCACTGTGCGGATGGAATTGATTTAGTGAGTACTTTTTTCAGGGATTGCAGTAGGAGGTTGCATAGGTCTGGCCAACAATGACTGTATGTGAGACTTCCCTGTAACGCCTCCCAGCTAAACCTTCAAGGGTTTTGGTGCTTTGCTTGAGGCACTGAATTCCAGCAAAGGGAAGATCTTTGCTCAACAATGCCAAAACACTTCTGTGAGGGCATGAAGGAGAGAAGGAATGGCCTCCAAAAGGCACAGCATGCTGAAAGCAACCTCGTATGCAAAAACCAATATTGATTAGGCTGCTTTGTCTGTTGGGGACCAGAAAGTATGATGCTGTAACATACAGTGATTAGGACCCGGCCTTTTGAGACCCACACAGCACTGCGTTTGCTGAATGTTGTGTTGCAAAAGGCTAAAATTACAAAGGGCAGTCTTCAGGCAGAGGTTTACCATGCAAGTGTCATTTGGGGTGCCACATCCTTTGTGTTGATGCACCAGCTTTAGCACTTGGAGAAAATTTCAGTAACAAGGTGCAAGTAACTGGAGGGCAGGATGGAGAATTTAACTTACTTGGTTTACTTGTTTTCCTTCCAGCTTTCCCCAGGTCTGTTTGTTTGCCTTGTGCTTGGCTCTGTCCCTGATCCCGTCTGTCCTGTTTTTGTTCGCCTTCCTTTGTTGCTGATGGTTTCACGCTGTTTCCATTCCTCTCCTTTCATATGACACAGATTCTCTGCCTGAGCCATGTCCAAGGTGTTGGACTCCCTGCAGTTACAGCACAGACACTCAATGCTGAGGACATGACTTCCTGCTTCACTGACAGTGTCTGCATTGTGTAAGTGAGCGTATGTTTTACCAGCCTACAGAAAAGAAATTTCAGGGCATTACTTAATGGATTCACCTTTTTCTAACTTGTCAGGACACTGGGAGCTCTTAATTTCTTTTTCACTGTTGCTGGTCTTTTGGTATCTACAGGAGACCAAGGTCGCAGTAGTCTAGATGATCTACACACAGTGAGAAGGAGCTTTCTTTATGGGCAACACAGAGAAAACAGACAATGGTATGAGAAAGTTATGAATAAATTTCCCTATGCAGAGGGAAGTAGAACCACAGAGAAATCCCTGGATCTCATTACTAGAGGTAATGATATACCTGTAGTAAGTTGGATAACTCGAGTCTAGTTCAGAGCTTTCACCACAAAATGGTCCTCATTCTCTTCACTGGGACCAGTGTAGCACAGGGATGGATTTTCACTTTTTCCCTCCCATTCAGATGTGCTAAGGATGGTGGAAGGTGGACCTATATCAGACAACTACCACAAGAGCACTAGGAGAGGGCATTACACCACTCACTCATGTAGGAAAGTCTAAGTCAGGCCAAGTCACTCTGTCACCTCTCTGCTTTGAATGAAATTATGAGGGTTGTTTAAAAGTGTTGTGTATATTGGCAGTTATCCCAGGGGGTGAGGAGATTAGTAGAAGTATACCCATAAATAAAAAGGTAATTGTAATATTCAGAGTTGCACTGATGAGAACTTAAAGCTTTAACTTCTAATAAACATCTATGAGGAGTCTGAAGGCACCCCAGATCTACAGTTCTAAGGGATTGTAATAAATATCCAAACTCCCATGAACTCAGAAAGTCCCTGGAGGCAGGTAAACTGCAAATGCTGAGCAGTAGTACTGCTCACTTCTGAAATGCTATCATAAACTAACCTATAAATATGAATGAACCCATGCAAAAGGTGGCTTTTGTCAAGACTCGGGTAGTTGGGACTGGTGCCAGTGGAGGCTGGGGCAGGACCTTGTCATGCCTGCAAAGCAGCACAGAACTTGCACCCAAGGGGAAAGAGTTGGTGCTGGGGTACTTGGTCCCTGTTGCCCTATTGTGTGGGTCAACAGTGGGAAAATGCCCCAGGTGATGTCAGGTTCTTGGGCCACCTCAATATATTACACTGTGACTGGCTGAAGATTACAGTACAAGTCTGTCTTGACATCAGATAGAAAACCCCTTTCTTATGACTCATCCTTCTGTTTACAGGCTTGCCTTTGCCTCCCGAATGAAGATACATGCTTTACACTGACAGGCAGTATGATGGCTTAATTAATCAGATGTCAGAAATAATATGTCAGCATGACCTCTGCTTTCGTTGTCTGTACCTTTGACATTAACGCAAACACGTTAGACTGCCCAAAACGCACACATCTGGGCTGTTTGTAGAGTACGTCTGTTTTATCTTTTTAAAGCTTTGCTTACCTGTGGAGCCTATTTATTGTATGGTGCTTTTTGCCACTTAGGCACTATGCTTAATCAGATTTGTAAATTAATTCTCTCCTGGGGTTTTTCTTTGTGTGTTCAGAGAGCATAAAAAGTGTTCATGACACGCTTCAAAACACACACTGGTTACATTAGTCATCCTTTCAGCATAATAGTTTTATGGAGAACACTTTAGGTTAAAAAACCCCAACAAATTTCCTTTAATCCAGTTTCTTTCCCCCACTTTGTTCCCTAGAGTTATGTTGCATGTTAGTAAACAGCTACACGACACGCAAAGGCTGTAATTGTCTTGGGTTTTTTCTTCTGGAAGAAAAGAGCTACTGTTTTGTTCTTGAAGTATCTGTTACTACTTTTTATGATATATTCAACTGAAAACATTTTCATACAGGAACTTTGCCTTCTTCTGGCAGCTGGAAAGCTGGTTTCAAAGATGAGTGCTGCTAAATCATGGCCTGCTTGCCATTTCACCAGCTTGGCAGTCCCAGCCCTGTGGCAGGGCTGAGTCTGGAAGGGAAAGGGCAGCTTTGATGGGGAGCACCAAACTCTCCATCAGTGCTACCTGCATCTTCATGGATGGGCCATCCCTCACACCCCTCATGTCCCTTTCTTGTCGTAGCTGTTGAAAACACCTCCTAGTCAACTAAAAACTTTTGTGGCAAACATTCCAATATAGGAAAGGATTTAAACAGCAGAAAATATCTCTGATGTTGGTGAAGGGAAGGTGCTTAGCAAGTACTGCAGTGCCCATTGGCAAGAGGAGGACTGCCGTGGCTGTTGAAACACAGCCTGAGAGCTACAGTGACAGCAGGCTGCAGCACATCACCTTGGGTGTGAGGGGTACTTCCCAGAAGTCACAGACAAATGTGGCTGTGGTCTTCTCTTCATGCCAGTGGGACCTGGGGAAAATTTCTCTTCATAATACTGCACGGTCACCCCTGAACTCTCTAGGCATCCTTATCTACCCCCCTCCACCATGCACACTCCCCCCCCACACACACACCCCCAGTCTCTCAAGTCCTTTGTGTTTCACAGGAAACAAGTAGATAAACCACAGCTTTCAATTTCCTAATTATGCAAAAAAGTTGAAACTCCTAAACCTTCAGAAGCTCGAAAACACTGAAGTGGTTGGAAAAAAAGGCAAAGAGAAGACCTGAAAGTAAATAGGGATTTCACACTGCAGATGTTGAGCTCTCACAGACATCAGAAAGATGTGTGGTGCTCTCGTAGCACATTTACTCTTGGGTGTGTTTGATAGAGGAGGACAGCAGTGTGTGGTAGAGAGAGCCCTATCATTGAGGAAGGACACAGTAGCAGGAAAATCTTTTGTCTGATGGAGCAATGTATGATCGTGAAATGAGAAAACATTGTGTTGAGTTGCTGCGGAGCGGAACTTGCTCAGCTCAGTAGGGAGGAACCTGCTTCCAGCATTGCTCTCCAGCCTGGGGATTTCTGAGAGACGTTTTTGCCCAGACCACTACTTTTCTTTAAGCCTCCCTTTTTCCCTGGATCTGTGCCTGCCTCAGAGCTGTAGGATAAAGACACCCTGGGACTTAACTAGGCCTGCACCCGTGCAGGCACATGCAACTCCAGTAAATGCATGTGATGGAGCCAGCAAGAAGCTGTTACTGCTCCGCTTCTGAGTGCTGCAACCACTGCCTGTCCCGCTGCCTTCGCTGTGGCTGGCAGGACATGTGTTTGTGTTCCTGGGACACCCGGAGAGGCTGAGCTCATCCCATCGGAGCAGCTGCTCATTCCCCTTCTCCCTGGTTTCACATATTCGCTCCCAAATCTTCTTCTTCTTGCCAGTTGGTTCACACACACGATTTAACCCCTTCCAAATTCTGGGAAATGGGAAAGGCATCCAAAGAAGTGCACCTGCAGGGAGGAGTGGGCTGGTGGCAAGTGGAACCAACTGGAGGATCCCTCTCCCCACTGCTGCTAGTAGGCAATGCTGCTGCATCTCATGGTACTGGTCCTTATGGAACCCATTTTTACCCCAGTTCCTGTATTGCAGCAGCATGTACATGTCTCTAGCTTCTCTCTTCCTCTTTCTTTGCTCAGACATCTGTATTTTTCCCTTTTCCTTGGGGAAAAGTGGAGTGACGTGGAGGAAGGAGGATTCCCTGATTCTGGCAAGCTCTGGGAACAAGTGCTGATGCCAGGAAACCCATCTCACTCACAAGCACAACTCACACTAGTTTCTGCAGCAGCACCTTTGTTCGCTGGCACATGGTGAAGGTCGCAGGGAGAGGGGAGGTTCATCAGGCACTGTTGGCCAGGCTTGCAGGCAGTTTTGAATTTTAGGACCAAATCATGAACCATGGAGGGCTGACTCTGGCAGCAGAGTGCAGGCAGGACTTTCTGCAGCCCGTGCTGCTGCCTTCACGTCAAACTGCTCAGGTCCTGGTTTCTGATATGGTTTTAATATGGTTTCCATTTCATACATCAGAAAAAAAGTGCTAAAATACCAGTTTGAAAGGCAGGGCCATTGTGAGGATCTGAGTACATTCCACCTGGGAAGCATCCTTGGCCTGGTAGAGCCATGCCATTTGTGTGGTGTCCTTGTTGAGGGCCTGTCCTGTCCCAGCTCTGCCCCAGCTTCCCTCTCTGTTCCCATGCAGAGAGCAGAGCTTGCATGTGGTGTGTCTCTGTGACTTTCCAGTCCCTGCTTTATCCGGAAGGATGTTTGTTTCCTGCAAAGGAAAGCACAGTCGGATGTCATTGTAGAGGAGAATAAAACAGATCTTCACAGGGCCAATCTTTTACAAATCTACATGGACAGATTTCATCAGGGTTTAACTTGGCTCATCAAACCAGACCCCAGTTTTGTCTGTCACTAGTGGACAAGCTCAGGGAACTGATGCGGGATCAAGAAGGTGCTCAGTTTGTTCATGATGCAGTGTGTTACATGAGGCAGTCCCAGTCAGGGTGAGCGTTGGTTTCCCTGCACTGAAAATGGAGTGCTAAGAGTGACTACACAGAGCTTTGAGAATGGGAAAACATGACATTAATGCTACGGATACTACACGCTCCTGGTGATCTGCTATTGAACAGTGCCACATGGCTTCACTGCATGATGCTCATCCGGTACATTTGTCGCTCCAATGAAACCTTGTTCCTTCAAAACACCACATAGACTGAAGTGACACAGGTTGTCCTATATGGTGTGAAGTGTTATCTAATGGTAGCCTTAGGTGGATTAGGAAGGTGAGCTTTTTAGGTGGGAAGGGACCTTACCATCCTCTCCTAATGGTGGTCTTTGGGGTGTTTTAGAGAATCACACAGCAGAGTATCACGACTCCTGGTGTCACTTGCAGTTGCTTTGTCAGTATCCACTGTGGAATGGCTAATAGTATCTGTTTCAGCCTGGGTTTATACTGGTTTCTTTTGGTTTTCCCTTACAATGTTACACATAACAAACATTTTTGGCCATGTACATTTTAATTTTTTAAATTAAGGTATTTCTCATAAGAAAAAACTTTCTAAATCTGGTTACTGTTTTCCCTTATTGGGAATATTCATTCAGCACTCACCTTTGCCAAAGATGATGTAGTGCAAGCAGGTGTTACAGCCTTACTTTCAGCCGTATGGAAAATACATTTCATTTCTGACAGTGATCCTGCTGGTTCTGTGGAAGGCTACCCCATGCAGAGATAGGCTGGCTAGATCAAACTGTACTAATTGCAGAGTGATTTGGAAATCTGTTCCACTTGCAAACAGAATGAATCCAACACTTTGTAACATTGAACTAACAAAGGTCACATTTCATAAATATTACAGAGCAATTTTCATAGATAATGCAGCAGGCTAGTTAATGATTAGAGCTGTAAAGTCCTGACGTAAAGCCATGATGAATTAGGGACATATTTTTACAGCTTCTGTTATTATTGCCTCAGGAGTCTGAACCAAAGGCAGCAGAAATAATTAGAGTCCAACATATCTTTAAAATCTAGCCTAGCAAACTGTATCTGGTCTTCTCAATGGCTTTTGTATTAGAAACTAGAAAACTGAAGAGATTTTAGAGTATCAGTGAGATTCTTGACAGGAAAATAAGCATGTTGGTTTCAATCCAGTTCTACTGGATTCTGCAATGAAAAATCCAGCCTCAATAACTGGTGGGAATTGGCAGAGCTCAGGCTTAACAGGAATGCAATTCTCCCTCTTGCTGCAGCTACTGGAGCTGCTTTATCAGGGCAGAAGGTTTTAGTAAAGATCTAGTTCTGCTCCTATGGCTGACCCTAGAGACTGGCACTCCTTTGACTGAGTTTAGTGCTGTTGCTTTGATAGGAAGGTGTTCGAGCCACCTGAGCAGTAATCTTGCTGAAGTCTATGGAATTAGCTCTGTAAGGAGAAAATATTGTACATACTGTATGTTAGAAAAGGTGGTGGAATAAATCCTGAGATTATTCAGAGGCATGAAAACAGAAATCTTGGGCCTATGTACAAACAGAGGACTTAAAACCAGAGAATGTAATTTTCCAGGATTTAATTAGGCATGTTTTATATCCAGTAGCTGCACACACACAGACAATCCATATTTCTCAGGAGGGTTTTATCTACTGTAAGCCATTTGTGTCTGATTCCAAAGGGCTAGAAAATCTTTGTATAAAACTGTGGGACAACTGTTATCCAACAGTGCTGAAGGGTGGAGGGTTTGGGAATGAGCAAAATTCCAGCAGGCATTTTACATTTCCTTCATCCAGAAGAAGCCCCCAGGGGATGGAAAGTGCCTAGTGTCACTCTGTAATACATTATGGAGAGAAATGAAATGCAAAGCCGTTGTGCAACATGCCGCAGTGTCCAGACGCTTGGATGAAGAGGTGGAACCAGTTATGTCTGTATTTGGGAAAGCTGTTTGACAAGATGAAACGTGAATTGTCTACGGAGTGATGCCATTTGGACACTTCAGGTTTTAATTAAAACTATATAATAATGAAATAATTATGAATTATATAAATCATATAATTAAATAATTACTTGAATTTTTAGATGCTGATGCTTTGAGGACATTCAGAACCTAAACCTAAAATATAATTCCTTGAAAATCTAGTGCAATTCAAGTGGAAAACAAAAACAAAGCCCCAACATTCATGCAAGCAGCAGCTCAGCTAAACATAAACCAACCCGAACTGTGAAAACCAGCCCAAAGCAGCATCAACACCAGAGTCAGAAGAAGCCAAGAAGGCTTTTCCCACAGCCGGACATGGGGGACCCCAGCAGGCAGAGGTTCGCAGGGTCACTGCTCCCTGGAGGGCTCACCCCAACCGCAGCAGCACTTTCTCCAGCCCTGCCTCCATTCCAGCTGGAACGGGCTGAGAAGTAACTGGAAGTTTCTTGTCAGAGCAGATGCACAGCACAGCCAGTTCTTCCATTGACAAACGAGCAAAGGAAAACAAAACATCATACTGTCGTTTAAAAATAGCTTCGGTAAAAATACCACAGAGAGTGCTTTCACCCAGTAGAGATTGGTGGCTGATTAGGGAGGGTTATCAGTATACCTGGTGCTGGATAAAACCCGATCCTGCTGCTGGGCCTTCGCACTGAATCAGGCAGATTGTGAGTTTGTGATGAATGTCCAAGAAACTGTAGAAGTTTTCTGATAACGCAGGAGTTTGAAACAAGGGGTTTCTGCTCCTTGCCTGCAATGCGACTTTAGGAAAGCCCCATGTGGGCTGAAGCTGCAAAGTGACATTTTTGGGGCTGGTGAGACAGAGCAGTTAGGAGGCAGCCGAGCAGGGTTTAGATGTTATTCCTTTCCCATACCCATTCTGTGTTCACGCCAAACACAAGTTGGCTTGGTCCACTACCAAAGTAGGGTGAGCAACACTGTGCAAGGGTGATTCCCATCCTATAAATTAGAAGTAAGAGCATTCATAAGGTTCAGCCTGTGTTTGGAGACTTCCATAAGTGATGTCTGTGCCTTGTAGCCACGCTCTGAAGTGATAACTGTTGATCACAGGCTTTGCCATGTGATTTTGGGGAAGTTGATCTGTGGAGTGTTCTTGCAGGGTTGTCAGTTCCAATTTTAAAGCAGAGCTTATGCGTGCAACAGTTTTCCAATGGTGAAGATCAAATTGTGTGACCCATTGCGACTTTTAACATTCCTTCTGGTCTTCAGCCTCTTGATTCTGCTTATACAATGAATTCAGGTGTTAAAACCGATGTGTTTTTCTCACTCTGTTTATTACAAAGTACTTAGAGCATCATTTAATGTGCAACTGTTATTTGGATCTATTTGCATTATTCAAATTATTTCACCCAATAGGGGAATTAATATTCACTAGTGGAAGAAAATCAAGCAGTGAACCAAACCCCACCAATTTGTTGAACAAATTTCAAGACAGAAGAAGAAATGGACATGAAGAGAGGAAGAGCAAATCCTGGGCTCTTCTGGGATGGTATAATTTGTTGGCTCAGTGCAGTCCCCTCAAGACCTATCTTGACCCATCACTCATCTAAAGCTTCATAGCTTGAGACACTGCTGAAATCCAGAGTCTTGAAGCATTGTCAGTACTGTATTAAAAACACCCACATTAGAAGTAAGGCAACTGGACAAGTATCTTTGCTAGGCCAAGTGTCATTCTCATGACCCTAAGATTAAATATCTTTCCTGTTTTCATGTACTGTATCCTGACTTTTTTACATGTGACTGCGCTAGCAAAGCGTATCACAATGAAAATATGTACCAAACACATAAAAAGAGACAAACCAGCTAACACAGTGACCTGCCCCAAAGCAGGAAAACCCCAAGCTGGGGCTGCCCTTGCAGCTGGCAGCTACCCACAACTGAATGTGTCCTTTGATGGTCAGGTCACATCACGTGCAGTGGGCTTGGGAGGGCCCGATCACTGGATCCATGCTCAGGATCAGCACATGGGATGTGCTGGCTTACCAAAGCTTCACAGTGTGGCCACTTCACTGGAGAGCAGCCCAAGAGCAGTGCCTGGGGTCAGCATGGTGTTCTCCTGCTCCTGGGGTTCAGCTGCTTACAGCCACGTTGTGCAGCAAGTAGGGAGACACAGGAGCCCTGTTTTGGGTCTCCTTTGCAGGATGTGGGAGTGTACATCTGCACAGGGTCATCTTGCACCCCTCCGTTCTCCTCCCTTTGCCCCATCCCAGGATCTCGCCCATGCAGTGTTCCCCCTGCTACTGCTCTTCTAGGCTTTCTTTAGAATGCTGCCTTGGGTAATTCTCTAATCTCCCAGGGGAGGTGGAGGTTTCCCTTCCTGCACAATGTCCATTCCCTGGTGGGATCCACATGGGTCATCACTGGGTTTCCTGCTGTCCCATCTTGAGGCCAGTTTAGCAGAAGGAGGTCATTTGGGACTGTGTTTTCACTAGAGCAGTGAGTTACTGTTCTTCAAGCTGAGGGGACAGCAAGTGACACTTAGGATCTTTCACTCCCAGGTCTGTTGCTGCTGCTTCAGACACTGCCCGGAAGGGAAACCAGCTGCCCCCAGCTCACCCAGTAAACCATGAACAGCAAAGGTGGGAAACTTAACAGTCCTGTGGCACAACCAGTTGCCACATCTACCCAGACAGGACCAGTGACTATTTCACTACTGAGATCCCCTGCAGGAAGGGCAATACTTACACATATTGATCAAAACACCTTTTAGCAGTAGCAGGATACTCGCTGCTCCAAACAGAGGAGGATACATACCAAGCCTTAAGCTACTCCAGGCTTCACAGAACAGCAGGCAGCCAAGTCCATGTGGCTGCACTGGGACACATTGTTTTCAAAGCCCTGTGTGATAGCACCAAGTGGCATAAATCAGAATTACCTGTCACAAGTTGTATGCCTCCATGTCTGTTTCTCCATCACGGCTGAGAAGCAGCTCAGACTCTCTGAGACAGTGGTTGAAGTAGAAGGAAGACAAAGAAGTAGCAGTGCAGGAGAGACGGAGAGATGGCAAAAAAAAGCACTGATGTTTGAGAAAACTGGAAATAATCCCACTAGAAAGTTGTGCAGAGGTTGTGTTAGGGCAGGACATGAGCTCGGGGCTTCCTGAGAGCCAGAGCTGGCTCCAAGAGCTGCTTTCTTTAGCATCAATTTCAGAGTTAACATTTGGCTTTTCTACATGAGGAAGCGGAGGACTCTGCCCTGATGTGCACCTTCTGCAGTCCCAGTGTCCAGTCTTCCTTTGAAACAGTCTGCAGAACGTACAGCAGCTTTCAGTTAAAGCTCAGCCCATCCCCAGGGAACCTGTGGAGCAGGGCCAGCAACACATCCTCCTGGAAACAGGCAACATCCATGTTGCTAAATACTTCACATTCCTTCGGGACACCAATCCAGACTTGAAGATGCTTGACATGGAGGTTACTCATTGTAAGACATTTGCCTCAGGGAACCTTTCTGACTAGCAACAAGTCAAAACCTCAATCCAGACCTCACTTCCAGATCCAAGCCATATCCCGACCAGCCTTAACAGCCTAAATGTGGGGAGTCATGACCTGGGAGCTCTGCCAAGCTTTGGAGTCTTAGCCGTTGGCTCAATATCCCAAGCATTGAGCTATTACCACCTGTGGTATTTGAAGGCCTTTCTAGTACTTTATCTCTGCAGCTCAGGCTTCTGTTGTGGTGCCATCCTTCTCTCTGCCTTGGTTTAAGTAAGTCATTGCAAGACACATATCATTGGGATTCTCTTAAAACGTAGGTAGGTGTTGGCTTCTTTTCACCCTCCAGTTTGGGTGAAGTCAACATGCCTGTTCTTCAGTATATGAGTGGGTTAGCAATGAAAAGCAGCGTGGCTCAGACTTATCACCACTGAGCAGCTTCTAGGCCCTGTTGTGGTAACTAAACAACCCTGCCCACATCCTATGGGTCAAATAAGTATTTCCCATATATGAGGTCAAGCCAGTAAGAGCAGATTTTGTAGAGTTCAGCACCAAAATGTCCTATTAAGAACAAAACGGGCTGATGAAAAATCAAGACAAAAGTAATTTGTCCATGAACATGAGGCTCAGTGCTGGCAAGGATCAGAGTGCCAGAGCTCGTAACTGCCCCCTAACCCACCACTCTAGCATTCTGGGGGACAGAGCCTGAGATCAGCATTACCTTTTGAAGGAAGAAGCCCTATTCTTAGCTGGACTCAAGCATATAGCAGTCAGGACAACAACTTCATAAAGGCACTTTATTCTCCCTTCCTGGCTCCTCACTGACTTGTTCCCAGACTTTCTGGGAGCCTCTAGCATCATTTTCATTTCCCCTGCCTTGGCTGATATGCTGCTTCTGTGCAGAGATAACCTCCTGCAAGAGAGGCTTAGGCAGAAAAGAAAAACAAACATCCTAGGTCTGCATTTTAAGACTTACTGAAATAGAATCACTGGTATCACTTATTTCTTACAACAAGAGATCATTTGTATCTGTCAAAACCAAAAGAAAACCCTGAAGTGCTGCATTTCCCCATTCTGTCATCATGGTTATTAAAAAGAAGGTGCCATTTGCCATCTGCTTCTGATGACACTACACCCCAGGTGGTCTTTCCACCAGTTCCAGAAGTTGCCCTAGGGTGCTGCTGTGCTTTGCTCGTTACTGTTAATGTTGGCATTCTGCAGGGTTATGGGAAGGTGCAGCAACACAAAGTTTGACACATCCAGGTTTCAGAAAGAAATGAGACACTTATCTCCCAAGTCTGCTGGGGAAAGAATGAAAAACAAATTGTTCTGGTGACATCCAGTTGCTGGCTATTAATCCCTTTGAGGATTTTGTATTGCTTCCAAGGCAAATACAAGATTAGCCTTTGGAGTAACAGAGTAGTATGGGATACAGATCTAGGGGTTCTTGTTTGTTTAGCCAGTATCTACTTACAACTGTAATTTTGTGCTTGTATGTTCACCGTGAGGTCTAGCTACCCGGTAGGTCCTTACTATAACCTGAGAAGGCCCTTTGTGGGTCAAGCCCCCAGCAGGAATGGGTGCCCCACTGGAGTAACCACTTGTCAACATACAGAGGCGAGCAGGGCAAAAACCAACCCAGCTGTGAGAAGGCGAGTGGGAAATAGGTCTTAGTCATGTGGAACCTTCTTGGCAACTCCCCCAGCTGCAAGGGCTGCCCATCCCAGCTGTGCCCA